ATTTTAATATTTTATATAATTTTTTATTAAAATAATATAATTTAAGATATTTTTTCACTTAATTTTTTATAATATAAATTGAAATCTACTTTTCCAATTACAATATTAATTTACATTGTAAATTTACAATTTTGATTTGTTAATATGATTGGCTATTGAGGGATAAATATATATTTATTTATTTAATAATATATTAAAATTATAAATTTACAATTCTAACCGTAATATTACAATTACTTCTACATCATATCTCTTTTAATCTGATTTAATTGTCTTATTTTCTAAATAAAAGTAATTCAGCTTAGTTATCTCATTTTTTATTTTAATAATATATTAAATATTAATATTTCAATTTTACTTTTATCATAATATTTGTAATAAATAAATTATTTTAATTATAAATAAACAAAATATAATAATTATAATTTTATATAATATTATAATTATATCAATATTGTATTAATTTTTTCAAATATAGACATAAAACCAGCGTTATCCACAAAATAAAATGTTTATTTTGACAAAAAAAAAGTAATTTATGTTTCAAAAAAACCAAAAAAGTTAGAAATCCAAGAAATTAAAAAAAAAAAAAAAGAAAAAAAAATCCTATTCGTCAGGCTTTCCAAATGACCAAACTGACAAATCTCTGGATACAGTACTTATCTCTCCCCTCTCTTTTCCCGAGAATAAAAACTGACCAATTCAGAGTCTACAAAATTAATGAAAACCCAAAATCCAAATCCCGTTTTGGAAGGAAAAGAAAATTCTTTATTCAAAAGCAAACAAAGAAAAATAATAGAGTCCCTCTGAAACCTCTGACCAGATTGTTTAGTCACAAAATCTGCATGTATATACGTCCTTTGTTTCTCCCTCCCTTTAATAAATAAAATCAAGAAACAGTATCCCTTGTGCCTCTTTTTTCTCCCCGTCTTTCCTTTTTCAAGGCTTTCAGTTAAATCAATTCCCACCTCTAATATATATACATACACCCCACCCTCTCACCCTCCTCTGCTGTACAACCTCTGATGTTCATTGAAATCATAGCACAACCAAGAACAGGCATAAAGAGAGTAGATTTAAGGGAAACCCATCTTGGTTTTTTTATTTGAAGAAAAGGGTTTGATTTGGTTTCTTGGATCGTCTGGTTTTTTTGCGTTCTTCTTGTGGCTCTGTTACATGGCTATTCAGGCGCAGACTTTGTATTCTGATAATATAGGGATGCCGTTGTTTGGCGGCCCGTTGGAATGGGTAGACAGTGGCTGCGGTGGCGGGTTTAATCCGTTCGCTTTCAGTTTCCAGCAGCAGAAACTACAGCAGTTTCAAGAACAACAACGGGTTCTACAGCTACAATATCTGCAGCAGAGGAATCAGACCCTGTTTTCCGATTTCACCACAAACGTCAAGAATCGAGAATTCGTGGGATGTTTTGACCAACAAAAACAAGATATTGATCACTACATGAGATTACAGGTTAGAATTTTATATTCTCTTTTAATTTAATTGGATTTATTTAATTTATTCTGAGTCCTGATTTTGTGTTCCTGTAACAGAATGAGAGGTTGAGATTGTTATTGCAAGAGCAAAGGAAGCAGCAGCTTGGAGTAATAATGAAGAAAATAGAATCGAGGGCTTCTGTTCTTCTGAGACAAAAGGATGAAGAGATTGCGAGAGCCGCAAACAGAACAATGGAGCTCCAGAATCTGTTGAAGAAGCTGGAGATGGAGAATCAAGCATGGCAGAGGGTTGCACAGGAGAACGAGGCCAAGGTTGTTTCTCTCAATAGCACGCTGGAACAGTTGTGGGAAAGTGCTTCCCTCGGCTTCAACAATGGAGCAGAAGATGCAGGGTCTTGTTGCGAAGTAAACAAAGAAGTGACAAAAACAGAGGAGGAAGAAGTACAGGGGAGAAATCCAGAGGCAACAATGGTTTGTAAATGCTGCAATTCTCAGAGTTCTTGTGTTCTGCTTCTTCCTTGCAGACACCTATGTTTGTGCAAAGATTGTGAGCCTTTACTTGATTCATGCCCTGTTTGTAGAACAAGCAAGATGGCCAGCATAGAGGCATTGATTTTCTGGGGAGAATAATTTTCCGAGAAAATTGAAGGGAGTAGTCAAAACTGGAAAAGAAAATCTGATGATCATTATTATGGTG